GTAGAGAGTGTGTGTGTGTGTGTGTGTGTGTGTGTGTTAGAGAGTGTGAGTGTTAGAGTGTGAGAGTGTGTGTGTTAGAGTGTGTGTGTGTGTGTGGTAGAGAGTGTGTGTGTGTGTGTGCTGATTCAGAGACGTCTGAAGAGTAAGATCTTTGACTTGTATCTGCAGATCTTATGTATATTAAATACATGCTTGTGGTTTTGTGTCTTTACTGATTTCATTTCTACAAAAGCAATGGAGTGTTTGATGGAAGTTTTCCTCAGATTTGCATTCAGACTCTTTTCCTCATGTTAGAATAATAAAAGAGTTATTATAAACTCTGAATGGAAGTCGGGTTATTGGTCATTTTCAAACGTGACAGAAATGAAAACATTAATATTTGAGCTGCTTCTCAGTCTAATTTCCAGCTTCATTAGTGTGTGTTTTAGAAACACTAGAAAGAGGACAATGCTTCTGCTTTACTATTTACTGTCAGCTGCTACATATAAAGTATTGATTTTATTTGCTGTGGCGGGCATTTTTAATTCGTTACTGTACTTAACTCGTGTTTCTGCACTTTTATTTTGGTAAACTTTACTTCACTACATTCCAAAGCATTATATCGTACTTTTTAATCCACTATATTTAACAAAAACAGTTATTTCGAATTGAAGAAACTGAAGTGAAAGCGGTTCGGAGACTCGGAGTCACGTGATGAGCAACTACCTAACGAAAATAAGTGATTTAAACACGAACTAACAAACAGGAATATGGGAAATGGGCTTTATGAGCGTTTTATATGGCATGTTTAGTTTTATAAAGATAAACTGGAGTTATATTCACGGTTTTGGAAGAGGTTTCACATTCTCTGCGGGACGTGTGGGCGGGGCGTCGAGCGGTGGGCGGAGTTAGAGGCGGGGCGAAGCGGAAACTTCAGACACGCTGAGATTTGAGCATCACTCGAGGAATAAAGCACTGAATTAAAGGTGAGCAGATTCATTCTTTATGTTATATATTTATATACAGTGTTTTAAAATTCAACATCTGAATGTTTTACATGAGATGCGCGTGTCTGCATGTCGTCTGAGTCCTAGTTTAATGTAGGTGCAAATGAAGCTTGTTGTTGGAACAGAGTTTACAGTTCTACACGAGTTAATGAGTGCAGTTAGTCATGTGTTACTCTCGTTATCTGAAACACATTCTTTAATGGATCATTTGAGTGTTTAAAGTTTGCTGTTGACATCATGGAGTCTGTTGGGGGCTTTTGCTCTTTTGGTGGAGGAAGGGCAGAATTACAGCCTGGGGCAAATGACAAAACAGCCAACACACACACACACACACACACACACTCTCTCTCTCTCTCTCTCTC